GTTTGAGGGGCACCAGAAGGAGTTTGGGGAGCACCAGGAGGGGTTTGAGGGGCACCAGAAGGAGTTTGGGGAGGCACCAGGAGGGGTTTGAGGGGCACCAGAAGGAGTTTGGGGGGCACCAGGAGGAGTTTGGGGGACACCAGGATGGACTACGGTGCACTGGGACAAACTGGAGGGGCACCAAGAGGAACTGGGGGTACATCAGGAGGAGCTTGGGGGCACCAGGATGGAGTGTGGTGCACTGGGACAAACTGGGGGTGCACCAGAAGGAACTGGCAGTTCACCAGGACAAACTGGGGGGAACCAGGAGGAGTTTGGGGGGCACCAGGAGGGGTTTGAGGGGCACCAGAAGGAACTGAGAAGCACCAGGAAGAGTTTGGGGGTACCAGGATGGACTACAGTGCACCAGGATGGATTATGGTGCACCAGGATAAACTGGGGGAGGAACAGGAGGAGTTTGGGGGGCACCAGGAGGAGTTTGGGGGGCACCAGGATGGACTGTGGTGCACTGGGACAAACTGGGAGGGCACTGGGAGGAGGTTGGGGTGCACCAGGAGGGGTTAGGAGGACACACCAGGAGGAACTGGGAGGCGTCAGGAAGAGTTTGGGGGGCACCAGGAGGGGTTTGAGGGGCACCAGAAGGAACTGGGAAGCACCAGGATGGACTGGGAAGCACCAGGAAGAGTTTGGGGGGCACCAGGATGGACTGTGGTGCACCAGGACAAACTGGGGGAGCACCAGGAGAAACTGGGGGGGCACCAAGAAGAACTTGGGGTGCACCAGGAGGAGTTTGGGGGGCACCAGGACAGACTGGGGGGCACCAGGATGGACTGGAGGTGCATCAGAACAAACTGGGCGTGCACTAGGATGGAGTGTGGTGCACTGGGACAAACTGGGGGTGCACCAGAAGGAACTGGCGGTTCACCAGGACAAACTGGGGGGCACCAGGAGGAGTGTGGGGGGCACCAGGATGGACTGTGGTGCACCAGGACAAACTGGGGGGCACCAGGACAAACTGGGGGGGCACCAGGAGGAGTTTGGGGGGCACCAGGATGGACTGTGGTGCACTGGGACAAATTGGGAGTGCCCCAGGATGAACTGGGGGTGCACCAGGACAAACTGGGGGGGCACCAGGAGGAGTTTGGGGGGCACCAGGACGAACTGGGGGTGCCCCAGGACAAACTGGGGGGCACCAGGATGGACTGTGGTGCACTGGGACAAACTGGGGGGGCACCAGGAGGAGTTTGGGGGGCACCAGGATGGACTGTGGTGCACTGGGACAAATTGGGAGTGCCCCAGGATGAACTGGGGGTGCACCAGGACAAACTGGGGGTGCACCAGGAGGAGTTTGGGGGCACCAGGATGAACTGGGGGTGCACCAGGACAAATTGGGAGTGCCCCAGGATGAACTGGGGGTGCACCAGGACAAACTGGAGGTGTCCCAGAACAAACTGGGGGGCACCAGGAGGAGTTTGGGGGGCACTAGGATGGACTGAGAGTGCCCCAGGACAGACTGGAGGTGCCCCAGGACAAACTGGGGGTGCACCAGGATAAACTGGGGGTGCACCAGATGGAACTGGCGGTTCACCAGGACAAACTGGGGGGCACCAGGAGGAGTTTGGGGGCACCAGGATGGACTGTGGTGCACCAGGACAAACTGGGGGGGCACCAGGAGGAGTTTGGGGGGCACCAGGATGGACTGTGGTGCCCCAGGACAAACTGGGGGGCACGAGGGTGCCCGGTGGGGGTTGGGGGGGGCACCAGGACTTTCTGAGGATGCCTCAGGATGGACAAGGGGACACCAGGACACATTGGGGGTCACGAGGGTGTCCCAGGATGGACAAGGGGACACCAGGACACGTTGGGGGTCACGAGGGGGACACGAGGACAGCTGAGGACACTCGAGGACACCGAGGGGGGCACAGGGACACACCAGGACCCAGCAGGACACTCCAGGACCCCCCAGGACACACGAGTGGGGTTGTGGCTGCACCAGGACCCATCAGGACCCACCAGGACTCACCAGGATCCACCAGGAGTCACCAGGACACCAAAGACACTTGGGTGTGCTCATGGCTACACCAGGACCTGCGAGTGGGGTTGTGGCTGCACCAGGACCCATCAGGACCCACCAGGACCCACCAGGACACTCCAGGACCCACCAGGACCCACCAGGACACTCCGGGACCCACGAGTGGGGTTGTGGCTGCACCAGAACCCACCAGGACCCACCAGGACTCACCAGGACTCAGGAGGACACTTGAGGATTCACAAGGACCCACGAATGGGGTTGTGGCTGCACCAGGACCCACCAGGACCCACCAGGACACTCCAGGACCCACCAGGACACACGAGTGGGGTTGTGGTTGCACCAGGACACTCCAGGACCCACCAGGACCCCCAGGACCCACCAGGACACTCCAGGACCCACGAGGGGGGTCGTGGCTGCACCAGGACCCACCAGGACCCCCAGGACACTCCAGGATCCACCAGGACACACGAGTGGGGTCGTGGCTGCACCAGGACCCATCAGGACCCACCAGAACCCCCCAGGACACTCCAGGACCCACCAGGACACACCAGGATTCACCAGGATCCACCAGGACCCACGAGTGGGGTCGTGGATGCACCAGGACCCACCAGAACCCCCCAGGACACTCCAGGACCCACCAGGACACACGAGTGGGGTCGTGGCTGCACCAGGATCCACCAACACCCACCAGGACACTCCAGGACCCACGAGTGGGGTCGTGGCTGCACCAGGACCCACCAGGACCCACCAGGATCCACCAGGACACTCCAGGACCCACCAGGACACACGAGTGGGGTCGTGGCTGCACCAGGACCCACCAGGACCCCCCAGGACACTCCAGGACCCACCAGGACACACGAGTGGGGTCGTGGCTGCACCAGGACCCACCAGAACCCACCAGGACACTCCAGGACCCACCAGGACACACGAGTGGGGTCGTGGCTGCACCAGGACCCACCAGAACCCACCAGGACACTCCAGGACCCACCAGGACGCTCCAGGAGCCACCAGGACCCAACAGAACCCACCAGGACACTCCAGGACCCACCAGGGCACTCCAGGACCCACCAGGACACTCCAGGACCCACCAGGATCCACCAGGACACACGAGTGGGGTTGTGACTGCACCAGGACCCACCAGGACCCACTGGAACCCACCAGGACACACCAGGACCCCCCAGGACACTCCAGGACCCCCCAGGACCCACCAGGACATGAGTGGGGTTGTGGCTGCACCAGGACCCACCAGGACTCACCAGAACCCCCCAGGACACTCCAGGACACTCCAGGACACACGAGTGGGGTCGTGGATGCACCAGGACCCACCGGAACCCACCAGGACTCCCAAGGACCCACCAGGACCCACTGGGACACTCCAGGACCCACCAGAACCCACGAGTGCGGTCGTGGCTGCACCAGGACCCACCAGGACCCACCAGGACACTCCAGGACCCACCAGGACACACGAGGGGGGTCGTGGCTGCACCAGGACCCACGAGGACTCACCAGGACACTCTGGGACCCCCCAGGACCCCCTAGGACCCCCCAGGACATGCAATGACCCACTGACCCCCCCCACCCCCTCCATCTGGGCCATCCCATGACCACCCACTCACACCAACCACCCCCACCCCACCCGGGCCCCCAATGAACCTGTGAGTGGGGTTGTGGTGGGACCCCCAGAGCCCCCAACCCACGGACAATAAAAGGTGACGTTTGGTGGCACTGGGGGTCGTGGGGTCCTTGTGGGGGTGGAGGAGGGACCAGGGGTCATGGGGGTCACGGGGTCACGAGACCCGTGTGAGGGGGGGGACAGGGTGGTCCTGGGGGTTCCTGGGCCCCCTTTCTGCCCTGGCACTGCTGACTCAGCAGGTTTATATTTAGGGCCCCCCCGCGGGTGGGAGGGAGGGTGACCCCAAGTGCCCCCTCCCAGTCCAAACCAGTCCCTCCCAGTCCAAACCAGTACTGCCAGTTACCTCCAGTCCTTTCCCAGTCCCTCCCAGGGCCCCCAGTCACCCCCAGCACCCCCAAGGCTCTCCCAGTGCCCCCCAGTCACCCTCAGTGCCCTCCCAGTGTCCCCCCACTCATCACCAGTGACCCCTCCATCCTCTCCCAGTTCCTCCCAGTCCCTCCCTCTCACCCTTCACCCTCTCCCAGTGTCTCCCAGTCCCTCCCAGTGTCCCCCCACTCATCCCCAGTGCCCCTCCAACCTCTCCCCTGTTCCTCCCGATCCCTCCCCTCACCCTTCCCCTCTCCCAGTCCCTCCCAGTGCCCCCAGTCACCCCCAATGCCCCCCCAGTGCCCCCCCACTCACCCCCAGTTCCCCCTCCATCCTCTCCCAGTTCCTCCCAATCCCTCCCCCTCACCCTTCACCCTCTCCCAGTCCCTCCCAGTGCCCCCCCAGTCACCCCCAATGCCCCCAGTGCCCCCAGTCACCCCGGTACCCCGGTACCCCCTCTATCCTCTCCAGTCCCTCTCCTCCCCCTTCACCCTCTCCCAGTGTCTCCCAGTCTCTCCCAGTGCCCCCCCAGTCCCTCCCATTCCCCCCCACCCTTGGAGGACCGACCCCGATCTCCACCGCCAGGGGGCGCTCAACCCACCGAAAGGGGTTTTGGGGGCGTGGCCAAACGCCATAAAGGGGCGTGTTTTGTAAATGAGGGGGCGTGGTCACACAACCCGGAAGCGGCGCCTTCAAGGTCAGAAGAGGCGGGAACGGGAAAGCGATAGGGGCGTGGTTAAAACAGAAAGTGACGTCACATATACAGGAAAGGGGCGTGGTCAGGAGCGCGGTGTGCCCTCGATCCCGGTCCGGCTCCGCCGCCGCTTCCCCATCCCGGTTCCTCATCCCATTCCCGGTCCCCTTTTCCCGATCCCGGGTCCCGGTCCCCGATCCCGGTTCCTGATCCCATTCCCGGTCCTCTTTTCCCCATCCCGGGTCCCGGTCCCGTTCCTGATCCCGGTCCCCGGTCCCCTTTTCCCCATCCCGGGTCCCGATCCCGGTTCCTGGTCCCGGTCCCCGATCCCGGTTCCTGATCCCATTCCCGGTCCCATTCCTTGTCCCCGGTTCCCATCCCCGGTTCCTGATCCCGGTTCTCGATCCCCTTTTCCCCATCCCGGTTCCCATTCTCGGTTCTTGATCCCATTCCCGATCTCGGTCCCCGATCCCGATCCCATTCCCGGTTCCCCATTCCCGATCCCCTTTTCCCGATCCCGGTTCCCATTCCCCGTTCCCATTCCCGATTCCCGATCCCGTTCCCGATCCCGGTCCCATTCCCGGTTCCCCATTCCCGATCCCCTTTTCCCGATCCCCTTTTCCCGGTCCCCTTTTCCCGATCCCGGTTCCCATTCCCGTTTCCCGGTCCCCATTCCCGATCCCGGTCCCCACTCCCGATCCCGGTTCCCCATTCCCGATCCCGGTCCCCATTCCCGATCCCGGTCCCCTTTTCCCGATCCCGGTCCCCACTCCCGTTTCCCAGTCCCCATTCCCGTTTCCCGGTCCCCATTCCCGGTTCCCGCTCCCGCTGCCGTTCCGTGTCGATGCATGCGGAGCTGCGGGGCCCGCCGGGCTCGGGCTCGGTGCCGGGGCTCGGTGCCGGTGTCGGTGTCGCTGCCGGACGGGCAGCCCGTGGTGCTGGGCCGGGGGCCGCTCACCGGAATCACCGACAGAAAGTGCTCCCGAACGCAGGGTGGGCTCGGGGACCCCCCGGGAGAGACCCCCGGGACATCCCCCCGGGAACCCCACCCGGGATCCCCGGGACCCCACTGACCTCCCAGGGCCCCCACCCGGGATCCCCAGGAGACCCCAGGACATCCCCCGGGAACCCCACCTGGATCCCCCGGGACCCCCACTGGGACCTCCCCCAGGGCCCCCACCCGGGATCCCCCGGGAGAGACCCCAGGACATCCCCCAGGGCCCCCACCCGGATCCCCCAGGACATCCCCCAGGGCCCCCATCCGGGTTCCCCGGGACATCCCCAGGGACATCCCCAGGGCCCCCACCCGCGATCCCCCGGGAGACCCCTGGACATCCCCAGGGACATCCCCAGGACCCCACCTGGGATCCCCTGGGAGAGACCCCAGGACCCCCACCCGGGATCCCCCGGAGAGACCCCCGGGACATCCCCCAGGGCCCCCACCCGGGATCCCCGGGAGAGACCCCGGGAACGCTCCCAGGACCCCCACCCAGGAGCCCCGGGATCACCCACAGGATCCCCTGGGAGACCCCCAGGACCCCCACCCAGGAACCTCCAGGACCCCCTCCCGGGACCCCGAAGATCCCCTCGGGACCCTCCTTTAACCCCTCAGACCCCTCGGGAGACCCCCAGGAACCCCCAGGACCCCTCCCGGGATCCCCCTGGACCCCCATTAACCCCTCAGACCTATCGGGAGATCCCTGGAATCCCTCGGGACCCCACCCAGGACCCCTGAGATCTCTCCGGGACCCCTCAGGTTTCCCCAGGACCCCCACCCAGAAGACCCCAGGATAACCCCCAAGGATCCATTTCAGGACCCCCTCCCGGGACCCCCACCCAGGAACCCCCGGGAGATTCCCAGGATCCCCTGGACCCCCACCCAGGATCCCCTGACCCTCACCCAGGAACCCTGGGAGATCCCCTAGATCCCCCTGAACCCCACCCAGGAGCCCTCGGGATCCTCCCCAGACCCCTGGGATCCCCAGGACCCCTAAGACCCCCATGGGACCCTCCATTAACCCCTCAGACCCCTCGGGAGCCCTCCTCGGACTCCCCAACACCCCCGGGACCCCCATGAACCCCTCAACCCCTCAGGAGCCCCTAGACCCCCAACCCTGGGTACTCCCAGGACCCCCAGACAACCCCAAATCCTCCCCAGTGCCCCCTCAACCTTTCCAGGACCCCCAAAGCCTTCCCAGACCCCACCCCACGACCCCCGATTTGGGGTCCCCAAATCTGACCCCTCTTCTCCCCCAGTGGAGGTCGTGGCCAACTATGCTGAGGGGACCGCCCTGGTCACACAGGTGGGGGTCTGGGGGGTCCTGGGGGTTGGAGGTCCCTGAGGGGTTTGGAGGGTTTTGGGGTCCCTGAGGGGTTTTGGGGATCCTGGAGGGGTTTAAGGGGTCCCTGAGGGGGTTTGGGGGATCCTGGAGGGCTTAAGGGGTCACTGGGAGGGTTTGGGGGTCCCTGAGTGGGTTTAGGGGATCCTGGGGGTTTAGGGGTCTCTGAGGGGTTTGGAGGGTCCCTGAGGGGCTTTGGGGGGCCTGGGGGTTTTTGGGGGCTCTGAGGGGATTTTTGGGCCCCCAACTCTTTGTGTCCCCCCCCCCAGCACGGAGTGAACCCCAGCTCGGTGGGGGTCGAGCTGGGCAGGGGGTTTTTGGGGTTCTGAGGGGATTTGGAGTCCTGAGGAGGATTTTGACCCCCAAACTCTTTGTGTCCCCCCCCCAGCACGGAGTGAACCCCAGCTCGGTGGGGGGGGTCGAGCTGGGCAGGGGGTCCTAAGGAGAAGTTTGGGGGTTCTGGGAGATTTTTGGGGGACTCTGAGGGGGATTTTTTGGGCCCCCCCAACTCTTTGTGTCCCCCCAGCATGGAGTGAACCCCAGCTCTGGGGGGTCGAGCTGGGCCGGGGGTGTTTGGAGGTTCTGGGGGGTTTTTGGGGGCTCTGAGGAGGATTTTTGGGCCCCCAACTTTGTGTCCCCCCCCAGCATGGAGTGAACCCCAGCTCGGTGGGGGGGGTCGAGCTGGGCCGGGGGGTGTTTGGAGGTTCTGGGAGTTTTGGGGGTCCTGAGGAGGATTTTAGGCCCCCAACTCTTGTGTCCCCCCCAGCACGGAGTGAACCCCAGCTCGGTGGGGGGGGTTGAGCTGGGCCAGGGGTTCTGGGGGGATTTTGGGGGTCCTGGGAGATTTTGGGGGCCTGGGGTTTTGGGGGGTCCTGAGGAGGATTTTTAGGGCCCCCCCAACTCTTGTGTCCCCCCCCAGCACGGAGTGAACCCCAGCTCGGTGGGGGGTCGAGCTGGGCCGGGGGGGCCGCGGGACCCTCCGTGCTGGGCAGAGCCTGTTCCTGGTGAACGGGAGGTACCCCCTGGAGCTGCACTTCGAGGGGTCCCCGAAACGCCCCCCAAAACGGCCCCCAGCCCCCCGAGGAGCCCCCGGCCAAAAGCTCAGCTCCCCCAAAACGGAGGGGGTGGGAAGAAGTTTGGGACCCTCCTGGTTTACACCCCCGGAGGTCCGGCCCAGCACGAAGGTAGGGGGTTTGGGGGGTTGGGGTGCTTGGGGGGTCCTGTGTCCCTCTCCCCACCTCAGGGAACTCCCTAGAGACCCCCAGCACCCCCAAGACCCCCAGACCCCCCCAGGACCCCAAAACTCATCCACAGGGGTCCTCACAGGGTTCCTGGGACCCCCACCCCCAAACCCACCCCCCTGGACCCCCTAGGCCCCCCCAAAATCCCTCCAGGAACCCTCAGCACCCCACCAAACATCCCCAAAATTCCCCAGGAACCCTCAGGCCCCCAGACACCCCTAAAATTCCCCAGGAACCCCTCAGGCCCCCCAAACACCCCCAAAATCCCTCCAGGAACCCTCAGCACCCCACCAAACATCCCCAAAATTCCCCCAGGAACCCTCAGGCCCCCCCAAACACCCCCAAAATTCCCCCAGGACCCTTCAGGTACTCCCCCAGACACCCCCAAATTGCCCTCAGACCCCCTCCAAACACCCCCAGAACCTCTCAGGCCCCCCAGACAACCCAACCCCCAGAACCTCCAGACCCCCAAATCCCCCCAGGACCCCTCCACAATCCCCCCCAAATCCCCTCAGACTCCCATAAACCCCCAACCCACCCCCCCATTTCCAAAACAACTCCTTTAAGGGGTTGTGACCCCGGGTGCCCCCATGTCTCTGGGGGGTCCCCACTCCCTGTGACCCCCTCGTTTTGGGGCCCCCAGATCGCGGGGTTCGACCTGGACGGGACCCTCATCACCCCCCGCTGGGGAAGGTTTTTCCCACCAGCCCCGACGACTGGAGGTGAGGGGGAGGGGGCTGGGGGCGATTTTGGGGGTCCAGGGTGGGCTGAATGGTTCAGGGGGTCCTACAGCTGTTTTTTGGGGGTTTCTTCTCCTTCTTATCCCTTTATTTCCCTCCCCAGGATTTTGTACCTCGAGGTCCCCAAGAAGCTGAAGGAGCTGCAGAATGAGGGGTTTAAGGTGAGACCCTCACCCCAAAATCCCACCTTGAGACCTTCCCTGAGCCCCCCAAGTTATGGGATCCTCCCCAAAACCCCACTGAGCCCCCAAGATCCCATGGAGACCCTCAGTGACCTCCACCCCAGGATCCCCTGAGACCCCCCAGGACCCCCAAAACTCTCCTGAGCCCCCTAAGACTCTCTCCAAATCCTCCCTCCCCAAACCGCACTGACCCCCCACAAACCTCCTTTAAGGATTCCCCTAAGATCCCCCCAAATCCCTCCAAACCCCCACTGACCCCCAAAATGCCCCCCAAGCCCCACCATGGACCACCGCTGTCGCCCCCCAAGGCCCCCTAAGACCTCTCAAATCCCCAGAGTCTCTTTATCTCCCCATGACTCCCCAAAATCCCCAAATCCCTCCCAAGACCCCCCAAAATCACCCTCAGACCCCCAAATCGCCCAAAGGCTCTTCAGCCACCCCCAAACTCCTCAGGGAGCTCCCAAACCCCTCGGGGACCCCCCTCCAAACCCTGATTTTGTGCCCCCAGCTCGTGGTGTTCACCAACCAGCTGGGCATCTCCGGGGCGGCTGCACCTGAGAGCCTCCAGACCCTTGGAGACCCCCAGATCCCTCTAATCCCCCAAATCTTTCAGGAATCCCCAAATCCCCCTCCAATCCTCCCCCAAACCCCTTGAGGACCCCCAAACCCCGATTTTGTGCCCCCAGCTCGTGGTGTTCACTCAACCAGCTGGGCATCTCCTGGGGCGGCTGCACCCAGAGAGCCCCAGAGCCCTTGGAGACCCCAGATCCCCTCCAACTTCCCCCAAATCCCTCAGGGACCCCCAAACCCCTCAGGGACCCCCCAAACCCCGATTTCTGTGCCCCCCCAGCTCGTGGTGTTCACCAACCAGCTGGGCATCTCCCGGGGGCACCTCTGCCCTGAGAGCTCCCAGACCCCTCAGGGACCCCCAAACCCCTCAGGGACCCCCGAAACCCCTGATTTCTGTGCCCCCAGCTCGTGGTGTTCACCAACCAGCTGGGCATCTCCCGGGGGCGGCTGCGCCCGGAGAGCCCCCAAATCCCCTCCAATCGCCCCCAAATCCTTCAGGAATCTCCCAATTCCCCTCTAACCATCCCCAAACCCCTCGGGGACCCCCAAACCCCTTGAGGACCCCCCAAACCCCCCGTTTTCTGTGCCCCCCAGCTCGTGGTGTTCACCAACCAACTGGGCATCTCCTGGGGGCACCTCTGCCCTGAGAGCCCCCAGACCCCTCAGGGACCCCCCCAAAACCCCTCAGGGACCCTCCAAACTCCTCAGGGACCCCCAAACCCCTCAGGGACCCCCCCAAACCCCGATTTCTGTGCCCCCCCAGCTCGTGGTGTTCACCAACCAGCTGGGCATCTCCCGGGGGCGGCTGCGCCCGGAGCTGTTCCGGGCCAAGGTGGAGGCGGTGACGCAGCACCTCGGGCTCCACCTGCAGGTTTGGGGACCCCCTGAGCCCCCCCCAAAATCGGGGACCCCCCCCAGGGGTCCGGGGACACCCCCCATGAGCTGTTGGACCCCCCCCAACTCCTCCAATGCAGGTGCTGGTGGCGACAGGGCCGGGGATCTACAGGAAACCAGTGCTGGGAATGTGGGACCACCTGTGCCAGAAGGTGGCACTGGGAGGGACTGGGAGGGGAATGGGAACTGAGGGGGGACACTGGGAGGGGAATGGGAACTGAGTGAGAGGGACTGGGAGGGGAATAAGAACTGAGTGGGGGCGCTGGGAGGGACTGGGAAAGAACTGGGAGGGGACTGGGAATTGAGGGACACTGGGAGGCACTGGGAGGCACTGGGAGAGGAATGGGAACTGAGGGGGGACACTGGGAGGGACTGGGAGGGGAATGGGAACTGAGGGGGGACACTGGTAAGGAACTGTGAGGGACTGGGAAGGGACTGGGAACTGAGGGGGGACACTGGGAAGGACTGGGAAGGAATTGGGAGATACTGGGAGGGACTGGGAAGGGACTGGGAACTGAGGGAGGGCACTGAGAGAGACGGGTAGGATACTGGTAGGGACTGGGAGGGCATTGGAGGGACTGGGAACTGAGCAGGAAGAACTGGGAGGGGGGGCACTGAGGGACGGGGAACTGGGAGGGACTGGGGAGGAGCTGGGAAGCGACTGGGATGAGGAGGACACTGGGAAGGGACTGGGAGGAGGAACTGAGGGCCTGGGAAGGAACTATGAGGGACTGGGAAGGGACTGGGAAGTGAGGGGGGACACTGGGAAGGAACTGGGAGATACTGGGAGGGACTGGGAAGGGACTGGGAACTGAGGGGGGGCACTGAGAGGGACGGGTAGGATACTGGTAGGGACTGGGAGGGCATTGGAGGGACTGGGAACTGAGCAGGAAGAACTAGGAGGGGAGTGGGAACAGAGCGAGGGCACTGGGAGGGACTGGGAGGATACTGGGAGGGCACTGGGGGGAAGGGAGTGGTCACTGGTGTGAACTGGTGCGATACTGGGAGGGACTGGGAGGGCACTGGGGGGTCACTGGTGTGAACTGGTGCAATACTGGGCTCACTGGTGTGGCTCCCTCAGGCCAACGGGGACGTGACGGTGTCGGTGCCCGACAGCTTCTACGTGGGGGGTGAGTGGGGGTCCTGGGGGTCCTGGAGGTGTTTTGGGGGTCCTGGGGGAGATTTGGGGGTTTGAGGGAGGCCCTGGGGAGTTTTGGGGTCCTGAGGGGGTTTTGGGGTCCCTGTGGGGGATTTGGAGACACTGGGGTGACATTGGGGTGTTCTGGGGGTCTTGGGGGTGTTTGGGGGTCCCAGAGGGGATTTGGGGACACTGGGGTGACATTGGGGTGTTCTGGGGAGTCTTGGGGTGTTTGGGGGTCCCAGAGGAGATTTGGGGACACTGGGGTGACATTGGGGTGTTCGGGGGTCTTGGCGTGTTTGGGGCGTCCCAGAGGGATTTGGGGACACTGGGGTGACATTGGGGTGTTCTGGGGAGGCACTGGGGGTCTTGGGGTGTTTGGGGGTTTCCAAGGGGGTATTTGGGGCCTGGGTTGGGGGAATGGGTTCAGGGAGAGTCCTGAGGTGGTTTTGGGGTCTTGGGGGTGTTTGGGGGTTTCCAAGGGGGTATTTGGGGCCTGGGTTGGGGAATGGGTTCAGGGGAGTCCTGAGGTGGTTTTGGGGTCTTGGGGGTGTTTGGGGGTTTCAAGGGGTATTTGGAGCCTGGGTTGGGGGAATGGGTTCAGGGGGAGTCCTGAGGTGGTTTTGGGGTCTTGGGGTGTTTGGGGGTTTCAAGGGGTATTTGGTGCCTGCATTGGGGGAATGGGTTCAGGGGGAGTCCTGAGGTGGCTTTGGGGTCTTGGGGGTGTTTGGGGGGGGTTTCCAAGGGAGTATTTTTGGGGCCTGGGTTGGGGGAATGGGTTCAGGGAGAGTCCTGAGGTGGTTTTGGGGTCTTGGGGGTGTTTTGGGGTCTCAGCCCTCCCATTTGACCCCCCTTTTCCCCCCCCCAGACGCCGCCGGGCGCCCCCCGAACTGGGCCCCAGGGCGGAAGAAAAAGGATTTCTCCTGCAGTGACCGAGCGGTGGGACCCCAAAACCCCTCCTGGGAACCCCCTCAACTCCCAAAGTGCCCTGAGGAACCCCCTGATCCCCCTATTCCAAACCCTCTCTAAAATCCCTGGGGAGCCCCCAAAACCCCTGGGATCCCCTCAGAAACACCGGAGGAACCCCCTGATCCCCCCATTCCAGACCCTCTACAAAATCCCTGGGGAGCCCCAAAACCCCTGGGATCCCCTCAGAAACCCCTGAGGAACCTCCTGATCCCCCCATTCCAGACCCCCTCCAAAATCTCTGGGGAGCCACCAAAACCCCTGGGATCCCCTCAGAAACCCCGGGGGAACCCCCAGATCCCTGGGGCCCCTCCCAGTGCCCCCCATCTTCTTCTCAGTCTCCCCTGTTCACCCTCTAGTGCCCCCGTTCCCCTCCAGTGCCCCTCAGTTCCCCCTCCCAGTCTCCCCCAGTCACCCCACGGTGCCTCCCTAGTCCTCCCAGTTCCCCCCAGTGCCCCCAGTCCCCCTAAGCTGATCCCAGTTCCCAGTCCCCCTCAGCTGACCCCAGTGCCCCAGTTCCACTCCTCCCAGCAGATCCCAGTTCCCAGTCCCCCCAGCTGACCCCAGTTGCCCCAGTTCCCCCAGCTGATCCCAGTGCTCCCAGTTCCCCTCCCCAGCGCCCCCAGTTCCCCAGCTGATCGCAGTGCCCCCAGTTCACCCCTCAGTGTGCCCAGTTCCCCTCCTAGCTAATTCCAGTGCCTCCAGTTCCCCTCCCCCATTTCCCAGTCCCCCCAGCTGACCCCAGTTTCCCAGTCCCCCCTAGCTGACCCCAGTTCCCCAGTCCCCCCCAGCTGACCCCCAGTGCCCCCAGTTCCCCCCAGTGCCCCCAGTTCCCCCCAGCTGACCTCCAGTCCCCCAGTTCCCCTCCCCAGTACCCCCAGTCCCCCCCAGCTGACCCCAGTTTCCCCAGTCACCCCCCCGCAGTTCCCCCAGTCCCCCCCAGCTGACCCCAGTTCCCCCAGTCCCCCCCAGCTGACCCCAGTCCCCCCAGTTCGCGCTGAACGCGGGGCTGCGGTTCCTGACCCCCGAGGAGCTGTTCCTGGGCTGGGCCCCGGCGCCCTTCGAGCTGCCGCCCTTCGACCCCGTGAGTGCCCCCGGTCCGGAGCGACCCCGGCCCCCCAAAGGCCGGGAGAGACCCCGAGCCCTGAGCTTTGCCTTCTTCCCCAGCGCCGTCTGGACACGGAAAACCCCCCGGTGCCATCCCGGGACGAGCTGGTGTCGAACCGGCCAGAGGTGCTGGTGGCCGTCGGCTTCCCCGGCGGTGAGGGAGGGAGCGAGCCCTGAGGGCTCTGAGCGCTGCGGGGGGAAAGGGAAAAGGGTGGGAAGTGTGAGGGGAAAAGGGTGGGAAATGTGAGGGGAAAATGGCGGGAAATGTGAGGGGAAAATGGTGGGAAATGGGAGGGAAAAATGGCGGGAAATGTGAGGGAAAAATGGCGGGAAATGTGAGGGGAAAAGGGAGGGAAATGTGAGGGGAAAAGGGTGGGAAATGTGAGGGGAAAAGGGAGGGAAATGTGAGGAGAAAAGGGGGAGAAATGTGAGGGGAAAATGGTGGGAAGTGTGAGGGGAAAAGGTTGGGAAATGTGAGGGGAAAAGGGTGGGAAATGTGAGGGGAAAATGGTGGGAAATGTGAGGGGAAAATGGTGGGAAATGTGAGGGGAAAAGGGTGGGAAATGGCAGGGAAAAATGGTGAGAAATGTGAGGGGAAAAGGGTGGGAAATGTGAGGGGAAAAGGAGGGAAATGTGAGGGGAAAATGGTGGGAAATGGGAGGGAAAAATGGCGGGAAATGTGAGGGGAAAAGGGTGGGAAATTTGAGGGGAAAAGGACAAGAAATGTGAGGGAAAAAGGGTGGGAAACGTGAGGGAAAAGGGTGAGAAATGTGACAAGAAACAGGCGAGATACGTGAGGAGAAAAGAGCGGGAAGTGTGGGGATAAATGGAGAGAAATGTGAGGGGAAAATGGTGGGAAATGTGAGGGGAAAATGGCGGGAAATGTGAGGGGAAAATGGTGGGAAATTTGAGGGGAAAAGGACAAGAAATGTGAGGGGAAAAGGGCGGGAAACGTGAGGAGAAAAGAGCGGGAAACATAGGGATAAATGGAGGGAAATGTGAGGGGAAAAAGATGAGAAATGTGAGGAGAAAAGGGCGAAAAATGGGAGAGGAAAAGGGCAAGAAACGTGAGGGGAAAAGGGTGGGAAACATGAGGGGAAGATGACGGGAAGCGTGAGGGGAAAATGGCAGGAACTGTGAGGGGACAAAATGGCGGGAAATGTGAGGGGAAAATGGCGGGAAACATGAGGGGGCAAAATGGCGGGCAACATGGTGGGGGGGAAGTGGCAGGAAAGAGGAGGCAAAAGGTGGAAAACATGAGGGGGGGAAAAAGCGAAAATTTCTACCCCCCCGCAGCCGGCAAATCCACCTTCGTGAAGCGGCACCTGGTCCCGGCGGGATACGAGTACGTCAACAGGGTGAGTGGCTGAGCCTTGGGGTAGTCCCTGAGCCCCAGGGTGGTTCCTGATGGTCCTGGGGTGGTCCCTGAGCCCCGATGGCCCCCCTGGTGACCGGCCGTGCCCCCCAGGACACGCTGGGCTCGTGGCAGCGCTGCGTCAACGCCTGCTCCGCCGCCCTGGCCAAGGGCCGGCCCGTCGTCATCGACAACACCAACCCCGACCCCGAGTCGCGACAGAGGCCGGTCGGGGCACTGGGAGGGCACTGGGAGGTGTTAGAGGGCACTGGGAGGGCGCTGGGAGGTGTTAAAGGGCAGTGGGAAGGTTCTGGGAAGGCATTGAGAGGTGTCAGAGGGCACTGGGAGGGCACTGGGAGGTGTTGGGGTGCACTGGGAGGGCACTGGGAGGTGTCAGAGGGCACTGGGAGGGCACTGGGAGGTGTCAGAGGGTACTGGGAGGGCACTGGGAGGTGTCAGAGGGCACTGGGAGGGCACTGGGAGGTGTTAAGAGAGCACTGGGAGGTGTTGGGATGCACTGGGAGGGCACTGGGAGGTGTCAGAGGGCACTGAGAGGGCACTGGGAGGTGTTAAGAGAGCACTGGGAGGTGTCAGAGGGCACTGGGAGGGCACTGGGAGGTGTTGGGGTGCACTGGGAGGGCACTGTGAGGGCACTGAGAGGACACTGGGAGGGCACTGGGAGGTGTCAGAGGGCACTGGGAGGGCACTGGGAGGGCACTGGGAGGTGTTGGGGTGCACTGGGAGGGCACTGGGAGGTGTCAGAGGGCACTGAGAGGGCACTGGGAGGGCACTGGGAGGTGTCAGAGGGCACTGGGAGGGCGCTGGGAGGTGTTAAGGGCAGTGGGAGGGCACTGGGAGGTGCTGGGGTGCACTGGGAGGGCACTGGGAGGTGTCAGAGGGCACTGAGAGGGCACTGGGAGGGCACTGGGAGGTGTCAGAGGGCACTGGGAGGGCGCTGGGAGGTGTTAAAGGGCAGTGGGAGGGCACTGGGAGGTGTTGGGGTGCACTGGGAGGGCACTGGGAGGTGTTAAGAGAGCACTGGGAGGTGTCAGAGGGCACTGAGAGGGCACTGGGAGGTGTCAGAGGGCACTGGGAGGGCACTGGGAGGGCACTGGGAGGTGTTAGAGGGCACTGGGAGGGCACTGGGAGGTGTTGGGATGCACTGGGAGGACACTGGGAGGGCACTGGGAGGTGTCAGAGGGCACTGGGAGGGCACTGGCAGGTGTTGGTGTACACTGGGAGGGCGCTGGTGCCTACTGGGGTTGAACTGGTAACTGAGGTGAGGCACTGGGAGCCACATGGAGAGCACTGGAGAAGCTGCTCCGTGCCGGGGTTTTGGGGCCCCTCCCCCAGGTTTGGGGGGATCCCCCCCTGACCCCGCCATGTCCCCCCTTGGGGGGATCCCCCCTGACCCCGCCGTGTCCCCCCTGGGGGATCCCCCTGACCCTCGCCGTGTCCCCCCTGGGGGATCCCCTGACCCTGCTCGTGTCCCCCCAGGTTCGGTGGTCGTGCGCCCGGGAGGCGTCGGTGCCGTGTCGGTGCCTCCAGTTCACCGCCAGCCTGGAGCAGGCGCGGCACAACTGCCGGGTCATGGGGGCTCGGGGAAATTGAGGGGTCCTGGGGGGCTCAGGGGCGCTGGGGAAATTGAGGGGTCCTGGGGGCTCAGAGGGCTCTGGGGGTCCTGGGGGTTTGGGGGTCCTGGGGCTCTTGGGGGAGTTGGGGAGGCATTGGGAGGGTCTGGATGGGTTTGGGAGTTTGGGGGAGTCCTGAGGGGTTTAGGGAAGTATTGGGAGGGTCTGGATAGGGTCTGGGGAGTCTTGAGGAGGTTCTGGTAAGTATTGAGAGGGTCTGGATGGATTTGGGGGCTCTGGGTGGGTCCTGGGGGTCTGGGCGAGTCCTGAGGGGTTTAGGGAACTATTGAGAGGGTCTGGATGGGTCTGGGGAGTCCTGAGGGGGTTTGGGAGGTCCTGGGGGCTCAGGGGGTCCTGAAGGCTCCTGGGGATCTGGGGCTCCTAGGGGTGGAGTTGGGGAGGTATTGGGAGGGTCTGGATGGGTTTGCGGGGGACTCTGTGGGGGTTTGGGAGAGTCCTGGGTGTTTAGCGGAGGTCAGGGGGTTGGGGGTCCTGGGGATTTGGGGGCTCTGGGCAGGGGCTGGGGAGGCATTGGGAGGGTCTGGACGGGTTTGGGGAAGTTCTGGGGGTTTGGGGAGTCCTGAGGGGGGTTAGGGATGTACTGGGAGGGTCTGGACGGGTTTGGGGGCTCTGGGGAGGGTTGGGGGAGTCCTGAGGGGGTTAGGGATGTACTGGGAGGGTCTGGATGGGTTTGGGGGGCTCTGGGGGGGTTGCCGGGTTCTGAAGGGGTCTGGGGAGTTTGGGGGGTTTCCCCACAGCACCCCCAAACCCTCATTTTTGGGTTTTCCCCCCCAAAAGTTCCGGGATATGACGCAGAGCGGCCACGTCCCCGTCACCGACGCCGTCCTGTTCGGCTACAGGTGAGGGGAGGGGGGATTTGGGGGGCCTGGATGGATCCTGGGTGAAAAAATCTTGGAATTCTGGGAGGGCTGAGGGGATTTTTCACAATTCCTCTCCAATTTTCCCCCCTTCCTGAGGGGTTTTTACCCCAGTGCCTCCCTCAATGTTTCCCCACTTCAGGTGTGTTTTTCTTCCCTCTGTTTTTGGCTGTTTTGCCCAATTCTGTGCATTTTTCCCCCTCCAAAGGAAACACTTTGTGGCCCCCTCCCTCGCCGAGGGCTTCTCCCAAATCCTCAAGATCCCCTTCGTGCCGGATTTTGGGGACCCCCCGGACCCCCAACGCCGGCGCCTCTTCTTCCAGTTCAGCGACGGATGAGCCGCCCCCCGACCCCCCCAATAAAGGCACTGCCCCAAAACTGCCCCAAATTCCTCCAAATTCGACTCCAAATCGGGTTTATGGTACAAAGTGGGGGAGGGGCGGGGGGAGGGTCACGGCGTTTCCATGGATTCACCCTCTGTGGAGAGAAGGGAGGGGGAACTAAATCAGGGACCCCCCCAATTCACTCCTTTCCCCTCATTTTTATCCACTTTGTCCCGTTTTCTCCCTGTTTGCTACTGGTTTTTACCCAATTTCTCCCATTTTGCCCCAACTCCTTCTTTTTTACCTATTTCCTGCATTTTTATCTAATTTCCCCCGCTTTTATTCCTAATTATCTTGCTTTTATCCATTTTCACCTAATTTTCTCCCACACTTCTTCTTACTTTTGCCCCGTTTTTGCCTTATTTCTCAGACTTTGCCAAAATTCCTTGATTTTTACCTTATTTCTCCCATATTTACCCGACTTTTACCCCATTTCTCACATTTTGCCCCACTCCGCCCATTTTTAGCTCTGCTCCTCCCATTTCCACCCCACTTCTCCCACTTTTACTGATTTCCCCCTTTTTTGCCCAATTTCACCCCCCCATACCCCCAATTTTTGGCTGTTTTTCCCACCCTGTTTTTGCCCAATTTCACCCATTTTGGCCTCATTTTTACGCCGTTTCTCTCCTGTCCCATTTTGCCCCATGTCCCCAAGTGTCACCATCCCTGGCCCGGAGACCCCCAGGTGTCCCCAGGTGCCCCCAGATGTCCCCAGGTGCCCCCCACGTGTCCCCAGATGCCCCCCAGGTGTCCCCAGGTGCCCCCCAGGAGTGTCCAGGTGCCCCCCAGCTGTCCCCAGATGGCCCCCAGGAGTGTGCAGGTGCCCCCCAGGTGTCCCCAGGTGCCCCCCAGGAGTGTCCAGGTGCCCCCCAGATGTCCCCAGGTGTGCCCAGGTGCCCCCCAGGTGTGTTCAGATGCCCCCACGTGTGTCCAGGTGCCCCCAGATGTGCCCAGGTGCCCCCCAGGTGCCCCCTAGATGTCCCCAGGTGTGTCCAGGTGGCCCCCAGGAGTGTCCAGGTGCCCCCCAGGTGTGTCCAGATGCCCCCAGGTGTGTCCAGGTGCCCCCCAGGTGTGCCCAAATGCCCCCCAGATGTGCCCAGGTGCCCCCAGATGTGTCCAGGTGCCCCCAGATGTGTCCAGGTGCCCCCCAGCTGTCCCCAGATGGCCCCCAGGAGTGTGCAGGTGCCCCCCAGGTGTCCCCAGGTGCCCCCCACGTGTCCCCAGGTGTGCCCAGGTGCCCCCCAGGTGCGCCCAGGTGCCCCCCAGGTGCGCCCAGATGCCCCCAGGAGTGTCCAGGTGCCCCCCAGGTGTGTCTAAGTGCCCCCCAGGTGCCCCCCAGGTGCTCACGGAGCTCGTTGAACAGGAAGGCCTCCTGGTATTCCCTCATGTACTGGGTGGAGCGCGACTCGTCCAGGAACAGGGAATACACGCGCTTGATGTCCTCCACCCCCACCTCCGTGCCCTGGGGGAGCGAAGGGGGACCCCAAAACGTCACAGGGTATCCACAAATAAATGTCAGAAGGCACCCCAAAACCTTTCCCCTCACCTTTCCCGCCATTTTCCCCTCACCTTTCCCTCCCTTTTCCCCTCACGTTTCCCGCCCTTTTCCCCTCACGTTTCCCGCCATTTTCCCCTCACGTTTCCCGACACTTTCCCCTCATGTTTCTCACTGGTTTTGCCTTAGGTTTCCCTACATTTTGTGCCCTCACATTTCCCACCCTTTTCCCCTCACGTTTCCCACCATTTTCCCCTCAATGTTTCCTGCCACTTTTTCCCTCACATTTCCCACCCGTTCCTTTCATGTTTCCCCACCATTTTTCCCCTGACGTTTCCCACCCTTTTCCCCTCACGTTTCCTGCCATTTTCCCCTCATGTTTCCTGCTATTTTTCCCTCACATTTCAGTCCATTTTCCCCTCACATTTCAGTCCATTTTCCCCTCACGTTTCCTGACCTTTTCCCCTCACGTTTCCCACCCTTTTCCCCTCACATTTCCCGACACTTTCTCCTCATGTTTCTCACTGGTTTTGCCTTAGGTTTCTCTACATTTTGTGCCCTCACGTTTCCTACCCTTTTCCCCTCCCATTTCTCTCCAATTTCCCCTCCCATTTCCCGCCATTTTCCCCTCACGTTTCCCACCCTTTTCCCCTCACGTTTCCCACCATTTTCCCCCTGACGTTTCCCACCCTTTTCCCCTCACCTTTACCACCATTTCCCCCCACATTTCCCTCCATTTTCCCCTCACGTTTCCTGCCCTTTTCCCCTCACATTTCAGTCCATTTTCCCCTCACGTTTCCTGACCTTTTCCCCTCACATTTCAGTCCATTTTCCCCTCACGTTTCCTGACCTTTTCCCCTCATGTTTCCCTCTCTTTTCCCTTCATATTTCCCTCACTTTTTCTGCCCTTTTCCCCTAATGTTTCCCACCCTTTTTCCCTCACGGCTCCCACTCTTTTTCTCTCACTCTTCCCCTTGTGTTTCCCACCATTTTCCCCTCACATTTCCCATCCTTTTCCCTTCACATTTCCCTCCATTTCCCCCTCACATTTCCCATCCTTTTCCCTTCACATTTCCTGCCATTTTCTCCTTACCTTTCCCACCATTTCCCCCTCACATTCCCCTCCTTTCCCCTCACGTTTCCCTCCAATTTCCCCTCACATTTCCCACCCTTTTCCCCTCACGTTTCCCTCCCTTTTCCCCTCACATTTCCCTCCATTTCCCCCTCACATTTCCCTCCACTTTTCCCCTCACATTTCCCTCCCTTTCCCCTCCATTTTCCCCTCACATTTCCCTCCACTTTCACCTCCATTTCCCCCTCACGTTTCCCTCCATTTCCCCCTCCCGTTTCCCGCCCTTTTCCCCTCCCATTTCCCACCCTTTTCCCCTCCCATTTCCCACCCTTTCACCCTCCTATTTCCCACCCATTTCCCCTCCCGTTTCCCCAAGGTTTTGGGGTGCCCACCTTGCGTTTCCTGGCCACCAGGCTGGCAGCGGTGATGAGCTGCATCGCGTAGCGCAGCGACGTCTCCAGCCCGATCCGCGTCAGCACCGCGTACGCGTCCTCCGACATCTCCACGTCCTCCTCCTCGCACCTGTGCCCCCAAAATGGGCCAGGGGACCAAAAAATGGGTCAGGAGGAGCCCAAAACACTCAGGGGAACCCCAAAATGGGTCAGGGGGGACCCTGAGGGGGTTCAAGTGAGTTTTTGGGGGTGCCCAGGGGGGTTTTTGGGGTGCCCCACTGGATCTTGAGGATCTGCTGGGTCTCCCTGTCCCCGTACAGGGCTCTGGTGATTGTTTTTGGACTGCCCAGGTGAATTTGGGGGTGTATTTGGGGTGTGTCAGGGTGGATTTCGGGGTTCAGGTGTGTTTGGGGGTGTATCTGGGTTGTGTCAGGGTGGATTTCGGGGTTCAGGGGTGTTTCTGGGGGTGCCCCACCGGATCTTGAGGATCTGCCGGGTCTCCTTGTCCCTGTAGGGCACCGTGGCGATGGTTTTTGGGGTGCTCAGGTGTGTTTGGGGGTGTATTTGGGGTGTGTCAGGGTGGATTTCGGAGCTCAGGTGTGTTTGGGTGTGTATTTGGGGTGTGTCAGGGTGGATTTCGGGGTTCAGGGGTGTTTTTGGGGTGCCCCACCGGATCTTGAGGATCTGCCGGGTCTCCTTGTCCCCGTAGGGCGCCGTGGCAATGGTTTTTGGGTACATTTGGGGTGTGTCAGGGTGGATTTTGGGGCTCAGGGGTGTTTTTGGGGGTGCCCCACCGGATCTTGAGGATCTGCCGGGTCTCCTTGTCCCCGTAGGGCGCCGTGGCGATGGTTTTTGGGTACATTTGGGGTGTGTCAGGGTGGATTTCGGGGTTCAGGGGTGTTTTTGGGGGTGCCCAGGTGTGTTTTTGGGGGTGCCCCACCGGATCTTGAGGATCTGCCGGGTCTCCTTGTCCCCGTAGGGCGCCGTGGCGATGGTTTTTGGGTACATTTGGGGTGTGTCAGGGTGGATATCGGGGTTCAGGGGTGTTTTTGGGGGTGCCCCACCGGATCTTGAGGATCTGCCGGGTCTCCTTGTCCCCGTAGGGCGCCGTGGCGATGATCAGCAGCCGGTCCAGCAGGTCCAGGGGGAGCCCGTGGGGGCTGCGGTGGGCGGTGCCGCGGATCCTGGGGGGCACAGGGGGGCCCAGGTGAGGGCTGGGGTGCCCAGGTGTTCTCAGGGCTGCCCCAGGTGTGCCCAGGTGAGGGCTGGGGTGCCCAGGTGAGCCCAGGTGTGCCCAGGTACCTGGTGATGCCGCGGTTCGTGGCCATGATCAGCACCGGGGCCATGTCGCTCTCCAGCGCCCGGTTGAGGAACGAGAAGCTCTCGATGTCCAGCATGTGAACCTCGTCGATGAACAGCACCTGGGGGAGGGGAGGAAAGGTTGGAGGGGTCCTGGGGGGGGGGATTTTGGGTGTCCCTGAGGGGGCTCTGGGGATTTAGGGGATCCACGAGGGGGTTTGGGAGCTCCTGGTGCAGCTGATTTGGGTCATTTCTGGCCTCGTTCCTCTGACGAGTTTTGGGGGCCTCTGGGGGAATTTGGGGATCCTGGGGGCTCTTGGGAATCCTGAGGGGGCTCTGGGGATTTAGGGGATCCACGAGGGGGTTTGGGAGCTCCTGGTGCAGCTGATTTGGGTCATTTCTGGCCTCGTTCCTCTGACGAGTTTTGGGGGCCTCTGGGGGGAATTTGGGGATCCTGGGGGGCTCTTGGGTGTCCCTGAGGGGGCTCTGGGGATTTGGGGGATCCACGAGGGGTTTGGGAGCTGCTGGTGGAGCTGATTTGGGTCATTTCTGACCTCGTTCCTCTGACAAGTGAGTTTTGGGAGCCTTTTGGGGGCTTGGAAGCCTTTGAGGAGCTTTTGAGGATCCTGGAGGAGTTTTGGGGATCCCTGAAGGTGTTTCAAGGAGTCCTCAGATGACTTTGTGGGTCCCTGAGGCGGTTTTGGTGGTCCCTTAGGTGGTTTCAGGGGTCCCTGAAGTGGTTTCAGGGGTCCCTGAGGTGGTTTTGGTGGTCCCTGAGGTGGTTTTGGTGGTCCCTGAGGTGGTTTCTGGGTCCCTGAGGCGTTTTCAGGGGTCCCTTAGGTGCTTCCAAGGGTCCCTGAGGCGGTTTTGGTGGTCCCTGAGGTGGTTTCAGGGGTCCCTGAGGTGGTTTCAGGGGTCTCTTAGGTGGTTCCAGGGGTCCCTGAGGCGGTTTTGGTGGTCCCTGCCATAGTTTTGGTGGTCCCTGAGGCGGTTTCGGGGGTCCCTGAGATGCTTTTGGTGGTCCCTGCCATAGTTTTGGTGGTCCCTGAGGTGGTTTTGGGGTTCCCTTAGGTGGTTTCAGGGGTCCCTTAGGTGGTTTTGGTGGTCCCTGAGGCGGTTTTGGGGGTCCCTGCCATAGTTTTGGGGGTCTCTGAGGTGGTTTCAGGTGTCCCTGAGATGCTTTTGGTGGTCCCTGAGGTGGTTTTGGGGTTCCCTTAGGTGGTTTCAGGGGTCCCTGAGGTGGTTTTGGTGGTCCCTGAGGTGGTTTCTGGGTCCCTGAGGCGTTTTCAGGGGTCCCTTAGGTGCTTCCAAGGGTCCCTGAGGCGGTTTTGGTGGTCCCTGAGGTGGTTTCAGGGGTCCCTGAGGTGGTTTCAGGGGTCTCTTAGGTGGTTTCAGGGGTCCCTGAGGCAGTTTTGGGGGTCCCTGCCATAGTTTTGGTGGTCCCTGAGGCGGTTTCGGGGGTCCCTGAGATGCTTTTGGTGGTCCCTGCCATAGTTTTGGTGGTCCCTGAGGTGGTTTTGGGGTTCCCTTAGGTGGTTTCGGGGGTCCTTGAGGCGGTTTTGGGGGTCCCTGCCATAGTTTTGGGGGTCTCTGAGGTGGTTTCAGGTGTCCCTGAGATGGTTTTGGTGCTCCCTGCCATAGTTTTGGTGGTCCCTGAGGCGGTTTCAGGGTCCCTTAGGTGGTTTCGGGGGTCCTTGAGGCGGTTTTGGTGATCCCTGCCATAATTTTGGTGGCCCCTGAGGAGGTTCTGGGGGTCCCTGGGGGTGTGGGGGCTCCGGGCTCACCCCAGGGATGACCTCGGCCTTGCCCTCCTCGCGCCACTCGGCCACTTTGGCGTTGATTTGTTCCCGCACCTCCGGCTTGATCTCCCCCGTGTCACCTGCAACGGGGGGCTGGGGGTCAGGGGGCTGGGCAGGGGGCTGGGGAGGGGTTTGGGGGGTTATGGGGGGGGTTGGGGAGGGGTTTGAGGGGGTTATGGAGGGCTTGGGGCATTATGGGGGTGGTTTGGGGGGGCTGGGGAGTGGTTTGGGGGGTTGGGGAGGGGTTTGAGGGGTTACGGAGGGCTTGGGGCATTATGGGGGTGGTTTGGGGGCTGGGGAGGGGTTTGGGGGTTATGGAGGGCTTGGAGCATTATGGGGTGGTTTGGGGGTTATGGAGTGGTTTGGGGAGTTTGGGAGGGGTTTGGGGGTTATGGAGGGGCTTGGGGCATTATGGGGTGGTTTGGGGAGCTGGGGAGAGGGATATAGGGGGTTTATGGGGTGGTTTGGGAGAGGTTTGGGGGTTATGGACTGGTTTGGGGGTTGGGAGAAGTTTCAGGGAGTTTTTGGGGGGCTGGGGGAGGGATTTGGGGGGTTATGGGGTGGCTTGGGGGTTATGGAGTGGTTTGGGGGGCTGGGGAAGGGTTGGGGGGGGGTTATGGGGGAGTTTGGGGGTCTGAGGGTCAGTTTAGGGGTCCCAGAGACATTTTGGGAGTCGCAGAGTACCCGAGAAGAAGGCTAGGAATTCCTGGGGTGGGTGAGAAGCAGTTTTAGGGGTCCCAGGGTCAGTTTGGGGGGTCCCAGGGCCAGTTTTGGGGTCCCAGGGTCAGTTTTGGGGTCCCAGGGTACCCAAGAAGAGGGCCAAGAAGCCCTGGGGTGGGTGAGGAGCAGTTTGGGGGGTCCCAAAGTAAATTTTGGGGTCCCAGGGTACCCGAGAAGAGGGCCAGGAAGCCCTGGGGTGGGTGAGGGGCAGTTTGGGGGTTCCAGGGGCAGTTTGGGGGGTCTCAGGGTCAGTTTTGGGGTCCCAGGGTACCCGAGAAGAGGGCCAGGAAGCCCTGGGGTGGGTGAGGGTCAGTTTGGGGGTCCCAGGTCAGTTTGGGGGTCCCAGGGTACCCGAGAAGAGGGCCAAGGAGCCCTGGGGTGGGTGAGGAGCAGTTTTGGGGGTCCCAGGGTCAGTTTTGGGGGTCCCAGGGTCAGTTTGGGGGTCCCAGGGTACCCAAGAAGAGGGCCAGGAAGCCCTGGGGTGGGTGAGGAGCAGTTTTGGGGATCCCAGGGACATTTTGGGGGTCCCAGGGTACCCCAGAAGAGAGCCAGGAAGCCCTGGGGTGGGTGAGGAGCAGTTTGGGGGTCCCAGGTCAGTTTGGGGGTCCCAGGGTACCCGAGAAGAGAGCCAGGAAGCCCTGGGGTGGCTGAGGAGCAGTTTGGGGATCCCAGGAACATTTTTGGGGTCCCAGGGTACCCGAGAAGAGGGCCAGGAAGCCCTGGGGTGGCTGAGGAGCAGTTTGGGGGTCCCAGGGTCAGTTTTGGGGTCCCAGGGTACCCGAGAAGAGGGCCAGGAAGCCCTGGGGTGGGTGAGGAGCAGTTTTGGGGGTCCCAGGGTCAGTTTGGGGGGTCTCAGGGTCAGTTTTGGGGTCCCAGGGTACCCGAGAAGAGGGCCAGGAAGCCCTGGGGTGGGTGAGGGTCAGTTTGGGGTCCCAGGGTACCCGAGAAGAGGGCCAAGGAGCCCTGGGGTGGGTGAGGAGCAGTTTTGGGGTCCCAGGGTACCCGAGAAGAGGGCCAGGAAGCCCTGGGTGCGGGAGTTGATGACGTCGATCTCGTGCAGCGACACCGTGTGAACGACCTCGCGCCGCTTCTGCAGCTCCCCGTCCGGGCACTGCACGAATTTCGTCTGGGAGGGCCCAAAAAAGGGGGTCAGGGGCACCCCAAAATCCCACCCGAGAACCTCAACCTCCCCTCAGGACCCCTGACCCCCCAGCCACCCCTGACCCCCCAAACCACCCTCCAATCCCCTGTTCTGTAGCTCCCCGTCCGGGCACTGCACGAATTTCGTCTGGGGGGCCCCAAAAAAGGGGGTCAGGGGCACCCCAAAATCCCACCTGAGACCCTCAACCTCCCTCCGAGACCCCTGACCCCCACGAACCACCCCCTCCAATCCCCTGTTCTGTAGCTCCCCGTCGAGACTGCACAATTTCGTCTGGGGGCTCCCAAAAGGGGGTCAGGGGCACCCAAAATCCCACCTGAGACCCCCAACCTTCCCCAGGACTCCCTGACCCCCAAACCACCCCTCCAATCCCTGTTCTGCAGCTCCCCCTCGGGGCACTGCATGGATTTCGTCTGGGGGGACCCAAAAAAGGGGGTCAGGGGCACCCCAAAATCCCACCTGAGACCCTCAACCCCCCCTCAGGACCCCCTGACCCCCCCAAACCACCCCCTCCAATCCCCTGTTCTGCAGCTCCCCGTCGGGGCACTGCACGAATTTCGTCTGGGGGGCCCAAAAAATGGGGTCAGGGCACCTAAAATCCCACTTGAGACCCCAAAATCCCACCTGAGACCCCCAAACCCCCTGAGCCCCCAAACCCCAACTGAAACCCCTGATCCCCCTAAACCTGCCCTTACCCTGACAGAGTGGGGATCAGGGCACCCAAAACCTCACTTGAATGCTCCAAACCCCCTCTGTGCCCCCCAAACCCCCTCCAGGACTCCCCAAAACATCTCCAGGACCCCCAAGCCCTCCAGGACCCCAAACCCCTCCAGGACCCCCAAACCCCCTCCAGGACCCCCCCAGACCCCCACCTGAGCCCCCATGGCGTCGTAGTCCCGCGCCCGGGTGAAGGAGCGGCCCAGCTTGGAGATCTTGCCCGTGGCCTTGTCGATGGTGATCACGTCACTTTTGGGGGGGTCAAAACCACGTTTTTTAGGGTGCTCCCCAAAATTTTAGGGGTCCCCATCCCCACTTGGGATCCTTTTCTCCGTTTTCCTTTCCGTTTCCAGCTCTGTTTCAACGTTTCCACCCCAAATTTGGGGTGTTTTCCCCCCAACCCCCCAATTCACAGATTCCTGCACCCCATTTCTGGGCCCCCTTGATTTTGGGGGATTTTTGCCCCCCCCCAAATTTCAGCATCCCATCAGCCCCAAATTTGGGGCTCCCTCACCTCTATTTCAGGTCCCCCCTTCATCATTTTCCCCCATAATTCCAACCCACACCCCCCAAATCCCGGGGTGGCCCTACCAGTTTTTGGGGGGCTCCCCTCTCCCCCTTTTTGGGGTCCCCCCGTTTTTGGGGTGCCCCCACTCACCCCGCCTGCACCTTCTCCTTGCTCAGGGCCTCGATCATCTTCGCCCCCAGGTCGTAAATCGTCTCCATCTCCGTCGTCTTCAGCGTCAACTTCCCCACCTTCGTGCCCTGCCAGGGACAAGAGGGGGTTTGGGGGGCCCCTCGTGGTTTTTGGGGGGCCCCGAGGGGTTTTTGGGGGGCCCCGAGGGGTTTTTGGGGTCCCCTGAGGGGTTTTGGGGTCCCCCCTCACCGTGCCTGTGGCGGGGCGGTCGATCTGGATCTCCACCACCTCCCCCTCGATGATCTCCGTCTCCTCCCTGCCAGGGGAAAAGAGAGGGGGAAACCCCCCCAAAAATGAGGGGGGACCCCAAAATGGGGGGGACCCTGAGATGGAGGAAGGACCCCAGAAATGGGGGGAGACCCCAGAATTGGGGGAGGTCACCCGGAAATTGGGGAGGGGGAGCAAAGAAACGGAGCTGAGAATTGAGGGGGAGTGGGACAGAAAAGAGGGGGGGACATCCCAAAATTGGGGAAGGGACCCCAAAGATTGAGAGGGGACCTCAAAATTTGGGAAGGGAGCCTGGAGTTGGAGCGGGAGACCCCAAAATTGGGAACTGGGAGGTTTAAATGGGGTGGGGGAACCCCAAAACTGGGGGGGAAAAAGTGAAACAGACCCCGAAATGAAAACGAAAAACAGGCATAGGAGGCACAAAATGGGGTGGGGAGACCCCAAAACTGGGCAAAGAGACCCCAAAATGGACAGGGGAGACCCCAAAATTTTAGGGGACCCTGAAATTGGGGGCCAGGAGGTTCAAACTGAGGTTGAGGAACCCCAAAATTGGGGGGTAAAAGCAAAACAAAGCCCCGAACGAAAGGGGAAAACGAGGGGTGGGAGGCACAAGAAGAGATGGGGAGACCCCAAAAGGTTGGCAAAGGGACCCCCCCAAATTTTGGGGACCCCCCCAGCCCGTACTTGATGCGGACGCCGATGGAGCGGCGGAAGGCCTGGGTGAGCGCCTCGGTGCGCGACATCTCCAGGGAGAAGATCTCGCTGCCCGCGATGGCCGTGAAGGGGGTGTCGGGACCCAGCGCCTGCGCCATCCCTGCGGGTTTGGGGGGGGTTAGAGGGGTTTGGGACTTAGGAGGGATTTGGGGGAATTTGGGGGGTCAGGAGAGGGGTCTTGCGGGGATTTGGGGGGTCAGGAGGGGTTTAGGAGGGATTTGAAGGGGATTTTGGGAGAGTATTGGCTGTGAAGGGGGTGTCGGGACCCAGCGCCTGCGCCATCCCTGCGAGGTTTGAGAGGGGATTTGGGGGCTTAGGGGGGTCTTGGGGGGATTTGGGGGGTCAGGAGGAGGGCTTTAGGAGGAGGGATTTGAAGGGGATTTTGGGAGGTATTGGCTGTGAAGGGGTGTCGGGACCCAGCGCCTGCGCCCATCCCTGCGGATTTTAGGGGGTTAGAGGGGATTTGGGGGACCAGGAAGGGTCTTGGGGGAATTTGGGGGATCAGGAGGGGTCTGGAGGGAATTTAGGGGATCAGGAGGGGTCTTGGGGGGGATTTGAGGGGTCAGGAGGGGCTTTAGGAGAGATTTGAAGGGGATTTTGGGAGGTATTGGCCGTGAAGGGGTGTCGGGGCCCAGCGCCTGGCGCCATCCCTGTGGGTTTGTGGGGGGGTTAGAGGATTTGGGGAGGATTTGGGGGTCAGGAGGGGTCTTGGGGGAATTTGGGGGTCAGGAGGGGTCTTGGGGGAATTTGGGGGGTCAGGAGGGGGTTTAAGAGGCATTTGAAGGGATTTTGGGAGGTATTGGCCGTGAAGGGGTGTCGGGACCCAGTGCCTGCGCCATCCCTCGTGGTTTGGAGGGGTGTTAGAGGGGATTTGGGGGGAATTTGGGGGTCAGGAGGGATTTGGGGGGGTCAAGGGGGATGTGGGGGTCTGGAGGGATTTGGGGGTCAAGGGGGATGTGGGGGTCAGGAGGGGGTTTGGAGAGGGATTTGAAGGGGATTTTGGGAGGTATTGGCCGTGAAGGGGTGTCGGGACCCAGCGCCTGCGCCATCCCTTTGGGTTTTGGGGGCGTTAGGGGATTTGGGGGCTCGAGAGGGGGTTTGGGGGTCAGGAGGGGTCTTGGGGGATTTGGGGGTCAGGAGGGGTGTGGGGGATTTAATGGGGATTTTGGG